CCTCTTCCTCTTTCTTTTGCTCTTTTTCTCTGTCTCTCTCTTTCTCCCTCCCTCTCTCTCCCTCCCTCTCTCTCTGACACACACACACACACACACACACTTTAAAAACTTGCTTTCCACTCTGGGTTCCTATACAAGGGAAACAGGCATGGCCTATGAGGCTTAATCCAGGTTTATCGAGAAACATACCGTGAACCGTTAGGTTAACGTTGATTTCTGCACCGAGGATGGTATCATCGGGAGCTACCACCTCACACCGGTAGATCCCTTTATCAGCTCGGGTGACGTTGTAGATGGTCAGGGACGTCCTGCTGATGAGTTGCACCCGGTTCACCCATTCCCCTAAGGGTGGAGGAGAAGCAGAGGAGACAGGCAGCCTGAAGACCCTAGCATACAGGCAGTCCTCCACTTACGACCATAACCAAGCCCAACATGTCCCACTGCTAAGTGAGACAGTTCTTCAGTTCTTCGGATGAGCTTTGCCCCATTCTACAACCTCAACAAAGCCTCGACAAAGATAATTCATGCTTTACTTCCAGCAAGGTGCTGTGTGCAAACATCCTTTATATCCTGTTTTCCCAGCTGCAGCTAATGAAGGGAATCAGGGCCCTTTCCTCTCCCGTAAGCCACGTTGCTCCCTTCTCCGTTCCTCCCTGTGTGCCCTAGGATGAAGAGGGGGTGGGCCTGGGTCTTCCTCTGAATGCCCAGCTGGACTGTGCCCTTCCCCAGTTTCCTCCACAGCCACCAGAGTGACACTCCCACTCCCTGTCAGCTTTTCCACCTCCCCCTCAGAATCAGATTCCAACAGGGGCATGACAGCACCTTCATTTTAAACACTCAGCAAAACAACCCTCCACGGCTTCTGGATGTCCCTGACAGTGGTGGGATTCAACTCTTTTTTAATCACCGGTCCAGTGGGCATGGCTTGGTGGGCATGCTTGGCCCACACTCAAGAGGGTTTCCTACTGACCTTCTCCTGCAAATCCCACACTCTCCCTGTGTGTTCAACAGCTGTGCCACGCAAAGCAACTGATCGACGGAGCGAACTGGTTCGCTCACAGATGATCATTGGAGCTACTGGTTCAGCCAAACTGGTAGAATACCACCACTTGTCCCTAACGAAGCTCAGATGATTTTAGGCAGGAGTGGAGAAGAAAGTACAGGTTCCCCACCAGTAGCAGGATTCAAATTTTTTTATACTACCGGTTCTGTGTGCGTGGCTTGGTAGGCGTGGCTTGGTGGGGCATGGCAGGGGAAGGTTACTGCAAAATCCCCATTCCCTTCCCACCCCACTAACCTGCTTTCCAGCTCCGTTCTCCTGTGCAGGGCGACCAAAGAAGACCCAGCCGATCAGCTAGGACTCGATGGGAGGCAAAGAAGAGATGGGGTTGGCAGAGCCAGTCAGAGGTGGCATTGGCTGGTTCTCCGAACTACGCAAAATTTCCACTACCGGTGATTCTCCAGAACTGGTCAGAACCAGCTGAATATCACTTCTGGACCCACCAGCACCCCTTCCAAAATTGCTCCTAAATCTTGGACACCCCCCAGCACAAATGAGGTCCTGAAGCCCCGAAGCTTCCCTACCTTGCACCTTGCCGTCAAAATACACATAGGTTGTGCCTTGGCTGCCGATTTTCTTCCATTCAATCCTGGGATTCGCTGTTTTGGTGGCAGCAATAACGCAGGACAGTTCCGCCTCTGCAAAGACACACACACACACACACACACCAGACGTCACAAGGCAAAGCGGAGACAGATGCCGGGTTAAGGCGGAACAAGGTTGTGTCTTCCCAATGCAACTGGATTTTTCACGCACACCCCACAAACACGGCTGTGGAGAGGGAGCCGTGCCAGACACTGAGTAGGATATGGTAATGCTCTTCCGCTCGCCCCGCACTTACGTCGAAATTCTTCCACCACCGGATTGATATTTTTAGAAAACAGCTCTATCGCCAGGACTCTGTAGCCTAAGAAGCAAACGAAAGGCAGGTTAAGAAACACGACAGGCTTCTCAAACATGTTGAAATTAAATCAGGGCAGGTCAGTGCCAGATTGGCCATGAGGCTCCATTTAATAGGTAATGAGTGGAAAGTGTACTACCCGGTGATCATTTTTGTCCTTACTAAATGTTCTTACTAAAATTGGTGAGAACTGCATCGATATGACAAGATATGGCCATGGTGGTGCAGTGGTTAGAATGCAGTGCTGAAGGCTATTTCCATTCCATTCATTTATTCTTTCCCTATTCTATTCTATTCCTCCCATCCTTCCTGGAATAGAGTAGAGTAGAGTAGAGTAGAGTAGAGTAGAGTAGAGTAGAGTA